GGCTTGAACTACCTTGCTTTGCATGTAATGAGTCTATCTCATATATTAGGTTCACCTTTTAAATTGCATTACTGAAATAAATGAACTTTTGCACGATATTCTAATTTTTCGAGTTTCACCTGTAGGCTTGGAGCAGTTTGAAATCCTACTTTTAAGGAGCAGTTCTGACAAATGTTCCTCATGAAGACACATTGACCTGAACCTGAATGCACCTATATTTGACTGATTCATATTAAACAAGGACATTATACAAGATATATTAGACCTACATCCATATTGCCTTTATGACCAATAGTGTGTTTGGGGAAATACTTTGTAAATAATGTTGGTAATGGGCCAGTTAGCCCTCCACAAGGAAAAACTGCAGGCTTTCCTGTACAAAGAGTTACTCACTTACAACTCTTTAATTCTGTTATGTCAGTAAATATTCACCACTCTAGGGTAACAAATTCCTCCCCAAAAGAGGCAGATTGTCCCCTGCTTTGAGATAAAGATATTTTAGTTTTGCGAAACGTAAGCATTTTGATACAGTTTTGCTGTATTTGTTTGTGTGTATTTGCATTGTTTTTGCTATTGTAAGCTTCTTTGTGGTCTTATATGGAGATGAAAATCCATATTAGTGTCTGTATGTAATGCAGCTAGTGAGTCACCTAACTTCTCAGAGCATTGAGGGAAAGATACTCTTCTCCCTTGCAGATGCCACACGAGTCAACAGTGGAGCACACCCATGTGGATATCAATGAGACTGAATCCCCAATGGCTACCCGTAATCGCACTTCAGTGGACTTCAAAGATTCCGACAAACGGCATCAGCTCACCCGATCTGTTAGTGAGATTAAACCACCCAATCTCTTCCCTCAAACACCCCAAGAGATTACACATTGCCATGATGAGGATGATGATGAGGAAGAAGAAGAAGAGGAAGAAGAGGAAGAATAGAAAATACTTGCATTAAATGTGGCTATAGCAGGAATTGGCAGGAACTGATTCCCCCCAGGTGGGGAATAACACACAAGCAAGCAAACAAAAACGAATCAGGAGCCCTTTATCTTTAGCAAGCTTATTCCTTGCAGACCTATTTCAAATATACAAAAAATGTGCTGGCTGAATTAAGACCACATATAGATAGCCCAAATGCATCCCCCCCAACACACACACGTAAAAAGGAAGGCTTGTTTTTTTATTTCTCTACTTGTTCATTTCATTAAAATGGCCTCTCAGGCAGGAAGGTTTCCATGACCTGCAGTTATCACAGCAATTATAGTCTTTTGACCCTTTAGGGAGGGCGTCATCTCTCTCTGCACTCAATCCTGTATGTGTAAAAATGGGAGTATTTTCAGGGTTCAGTTCATCCAGTCAAGCATCGTCCTCTGCCTTTGCTCTACTGCTTTCCAGCTTCTACTCATTTTTATACTTTATGATTTATGAAATGAATTATCATCTGTTCTTGGATGTCTGATAGGTAGTTTTCTGTGGCTGAAATTTGAAAGCTTTATCATTCTGATGGAGGTATGTGCTGCCTGGAACCTTCTGGAACCTTCTAAAATGGGTCCTTATGCCATGTGCTTATTCTTTGCCCTGAACATTTCTACTGGGGAGATCTATGCTTTTTATGCTCAATTTTATGGGACAAGGAAAAGAAGAGGTTGTTTTGTATGCGTGCACGACCTCAAAGAAAACAAACACTCATATAGTCCAGACAAAGAAAATTACAATCTCAAAAAAGGAAGTTTTATTTGCACCTCTTTTCATTACCTTATTATTGCTAAAAATTTAGCTCTGTGTCAGAGTGAGATTCTTTTTTTTTTCAGCTAGCAGCCGCTTGGCTCACTCCTACAGAGTTGAAATACATGGCAGCAAATAGTTCCAGAGTCTTTACAAAAAAGAACACCTTCAACAGGATGTCCTTATTGGGACACTCTGTTTTTACCTCCATTCCAAGAATGAGACTCAATGAAGGTCAGCTTCATTATATTTGTAAAAGGCTCTGAGGGCCTGGCTTGTTGTCGTATTAATTAGTTCAGGCTGTTAAATCAAAGCACATTTCCTGATAGTTACTCTCTAGTGCAAGGGTTTCTTTTTCATATAAATAAGCAGTTTCCTGGAGCGTAAACATACCTTTTACCATTCTGTGCCATTGGTGTGTATAGAAGACAAAAAAGAGGCCCTATTTTAAAATATTGGAATTTTTATTTTGAATCATTTAATAGTAGTTATATTCCATTACTACACACACTGAATTGCAAATCAGCAGGATAAGCTGGTACTGCTCTGACAGATCTGCAAATAAAAAATTATATTCATAAGCAGCTTTCATGTGTTTCTGAAAAGATGCAAAAAGGTAAAGTCATCAGTGTTAGACTGGCTAATCAAAAGTTTTATAAGCAAGTTTAAAGATACGTGAATAACATCTAATCCAGGGATAATAACCATTATGAAAAGTACAGGTGTTTCAGAAATTGTAGAGCAATTCTGGGAAATTCAGCTCCCATTATCTATACCTCATTGCATTCCACTGTAACTTGATGGCAATGGTGGGTAATTTGGATTTCGTCCAGAGGTTAATCTTGGAATAGAAATGAATACCTGCAGCATAAGGAGCTACCTATTATCAGTGCAATCAGAATTGGAAGAGGCTGCCCTTAGGCAACAGATCAAGGTGATCTTAGCATTCCAACAACCCACTTAACCAATTGCATTCCCCACCGTTATTTCCCGTTTTGTGTTGTGGACTTCAGCCTTGTGAACCAGCACTTACAGTAGTTGCCCCATCAATAATTGCACCATGATGTTGCAGTCATCTTGTCTTAGTTTGGAAAAAAGAGCTTTTAATTGCTCTGGTAGTAAGTATAATCAGTACAACTACTACCTTTATTTATGAAAGATATTATTTACAATGGTAGCAAGCGTTTTCAGCACCTCACTCAAATTTGTCCTTAACATTTTGATAGGAAGGAAGATGATCAAAAAAGTGGGGGAATGCTAGAAGGCGGCATTTGTTGCCAGTAGTATCACATATTTTAGACCTCCAGAGCAGATTTGAGGATACCAGAGATACAGAAAAAAGAATCCAATTGTGGCAATGGAGACTAAGTCCTGCAAGTCCAAACATAGCCCATTGTTTGTTCTGGTCTTAAATATATACCTTATAGATTTCCTCAATAAATCTGAACGTAAGCGTCAGTGTCTAAAGCATTCTGATTATCCTGAAAAACAGGTGCAGAAAAAATGGTTATTGCACCACAGATTTGTTGGGGTCCTCCTGTTTCATTCCACTAGTACAGAAATGAATAATTGACATGTCACCATGCCATCTCAGTCACATGGGGAGAGATGGCAGTGGATTGGAAAAGCAGTTTAGGCATATTTTTTAATATTATGAATAGTTGTCACTAAATATCATGTATTTTTTGTATTATTTCTTCAGTAAGTTCATACTGTATTGTATAGTTTTGACTTTCTTTTAGGAGAAACCAGGAAACAAAATCTGTTTAAAGGGCTCCTACTTTGCAGCACAAATTCAGCCAGCAGCTCTTCTGTTAAAGCCACTATAAGTACTGGACATAGTATGGGTGAGGTGTATTTAAATCCCTATTTAGCTAGAGAGTTCACCAGACCACATGAGCCAGGCAAACACAATTTAACTTGCCCCAAAGACATTGTGAAGATAGAAAAATAAAATAAAATACATTGTAGGGACTATTTAAAAGCTGATTAGAGAGAATCCTATTGAACTGTCAAGATCATAATCTGAATTTCAGTTTCCTTATGTTCTGGCAGGAGGGAGTGGGAAGCTGAATAAGATGGAACAAAAAGAAGACTTCGGCAATATGATGACTTCTTTACTTTTGTTATCCTCTGAGATAATTTAATATTTGGTTGCTTTATTTGAGTGTGGAATCCTACAGATATTGAGGGATGATTGGTTTAAAGCTGAGAAATAATCATTGTTTTTGGTGTCTTGGAAAAAAAAACCCCTAAAATGTACAGAAACAACTGACATATATGGTTAATAATCACTAGATAGATTTAACTTTAGATTTAGATGAATACTGCAGCTATTTTTATCTAGATAAAAAATAAACACGGGGGAAAAAATCACCAGCTTGTTTAGTACATAGTAATAAGGGGCCTACTTGGACACCAAAATCTTCCATGAATACTAGAAATAATATCATACCAGAAGGGAAGGGAAATTTGGAAGGCCAACTACTTCTTAATTTCATCCAACTTAAAAAAAAAAAGACAATGTTTTTCTTCTACCTGAAAACAAATACCAGCATAATGTTCTCTCCTTTTCTAGCTGGTGACTCTGACCATTAACAAGACTGCAAGTAACCATTCATGAGCAACAAAGTCAAATCCTGACCAAAGACTTTCGGAAGTCACACATTCCTTTGGAAGAAGCCTTCCATTCTCCCTGGAAGCTACTTTTAGAAAATTACCATCTTGTACTCTTATTAACAAAAGATGATGCATGGAATGGGAAGGAGCCACTTAAAACAAAGGTCTACAGGAAAAATACATTTATCTAACAGAAATAAACTGCTTTACAATAAAATTGCAAAATATACAAGTAAATCAAGTTCAAAATAAATAGAATAAATTGTCAACACCACTGAGTAATGGTACACTCTCCTGGGATTGCAGATTATTTATGAAATGTGTACATTCCACTTGTGCTTTTTCAGAGATTATATAAACATAGTATGGAATACTATTAGGAGACCATTACCACTTAGAAGAGGGAGAATGCATAGATATAATGCAACATTAACAACAAACCTACAAAAAGTATATTTTGGAGTGCAATAATAAATGGAAATAAATTGTGTGAGGAGCCTTTGAATTCTTACTAAAGCATGGTCAGCAATCAGCAATAATAAAAATTGGAATCCAATTCTTGGAATTTTATAGTTTTGATATACTGTATTACATCGGTGTAAATCTGCAATTCTGTGCAACATTTATGAGGAAGATATAGTAACTGCATTGGAAAGTTTGGCCTGAGATGCAGTTAAGTTTCAAGTTATGACCTTGAGTGTAGCTGCTGTCTTGTAGCTCAGTGGTCCCCAACTCCTGGGCTACAGACCAGCACCAGTCCACGGCGCGCCAGAAACCATCCGTGCACAAGCGGGATGCAGGCAGCAAGTGAAACCACATCCTCTCCGGTCCACGGAAAAACCTCTCTCCACAGACCCAGTCCTGACGCCCAAAAGGTTGGGGGGGGGGTGCTGTTGTAGCTCATTATGCAGAAATACAACTATTTTTGAGAAAAAACATTCTGTAGAGATCCAGATAAACCTCCATGAAAAAAATGATGTATGGAATTAAGAGCTCTAAGCTTAAGTATGAAGTATGGTATTCTCCTTTATTGTTACCTTCTCCCTTGCAATAGCAGTTTAACTCCTAATCTTGAAAATTGTATTGCGATTGTTCATCAATTCCTCCAAATTCACAAACAAGTTATTTAGAAATACTACAGTCTGTAACCAGAAATGTAAATACAGTAGTAGGATCAAGCCAAGAGGAATTACAGCTAAGAAATGACAATAACCATAAAATGTCAATGTATGAAACAGTAAAAAATAAGTGGAAGAAATGTACATCATAAATAACGAACAGTTCTTAGCAGCCCCTACACAACATCTAGTGCAGTGATGGCGAACCTTTTAGAGACCGAGTGCCCAAACTGTAACCCAAAACCCACTTATGCATCGTCAGGTGCCGGGTGGGTGTGGCCCATTAGGTGGGTGTGGCCCACATGGTGGGCATGGCTGCGGTGGTAACGGTAGACTGGGTGGGACTAAAAAGTTCAATCAATCAATTCCAACTTTGCAAGATCTTTTTTTTCCCCGGAAGAAGTTGAAATTGACTGATTGAACCTTTTTTTTTTTGCACATGGTGGCGGAGGCCTAAAGCGAAAAGGTTTTATAAAACCCAGCTGAAGGCCTAGGACCGGGGTGACGGCGCGTGTGCCCACAGAGAGGGCTCTGAGTGCCGCCTCTGGCACCCGTGCCATAGGTTCGCCACCACTGATCTAGTGTTTCAGTAACAGAATTTAGCCGCCCATTGTGCCTTTAGTTGCAGCACCATGTTACTAACAAAAGCACAAATGTGCTACAAATACCCATCAAAAAGTGTACACATTTCCCTCTTTCATCCATGAGCTAACCTAGATGTGGATTGTGCAACCGTGCACAATTCTCTGACTTCTAAGCAAAATTAGACAATTTCTAAGATCAAGTGAGAGAGAGCAAAACATCAAGAGAATCAAGCACTTTCTAGCACCGCATAAAGATAAATTATTTTTAACCCAGTATTCATTCTCTCATCTTTTGAGTTCAAGGCTCATTGCTGTACTGTTAATTCAGTCTACACATTTATTCTAGGATTAACCAGAAGATGGTTTAGCATCACTCACTTTATAAAATTATATGTCATTGCAGCATTGCTACAGCAGCTAGACAGGCACTTCAGTGGAAATAATGTTAACTGCCAGAAGTATGTTAGGAAAAGAATACAGAAAGCATGTGGCTCTCAACTGGTTGCCTATTGTGATGACATTTTACATATATTACAGAAATGAAATGAACCTAAACCAGCAAATTCACCCTATTCTAATCTAGTTTCATTTGCATAGTTACCTATGGCAAAGACTGCCTTGGGGATTGGTCTCGGGGGAAGCAGTAGAGATTATGAAGCATCTCGGGGTGCATAATCCAAAGGAGGCAAAACAAGGAATCACTGACAGCATTCAATGCAGCAAAATAATGTTTTGCCAGTTTTTTGTTATCGTGAAGATGCCACATTCTAAAGGTAACAGGAAATGCTGCACAGACTCCAAAGGCTGAAACAAATGTGCTTTAATTTATGGACATGTTTTTCTTCGATATTAAGATGGAGGGGGTGTATTCTGGTAGTTAAATTAATAAGACCATTTTGGCTTAAAAGCAAAAATATTTCTAAAAAGCGAGCTAATCTGATCCCCAAATACTTGTCAAAGCACAGATTAACTAGAGATTTTCACACAAAGATGTAAGAATGATTCTAAGTGGACATTAGAATAATGCACGAATGTGCCTTCAAATGCTGTCTGGATCAAATCAAGGAAGTCCAAGCACTCAAGCTTTGTTCCAGCCACCACCATAACCACCAATTTAGCAAATGTCTGAAAATGGAATTAAAGCCTTTCTTGCTTTCCAGTTGCCATTGTTGCCATATCAAAACAGCAAAATACAAATCACTTGTTGGAAATGTACAGTCATTTGGATATGCTGGCCTAATTATAGCTATCTTGTATTAGGAGTTTAATGCTTCTGAGACCCTTTCAAAGAATTCTTTATTACATTTACCTGAGGGAGAAAGCATACACGTGTCTCCATGATGGATCTAGCAATATTGCTTTTGTCTTATCAGCCCTTAGCATAAAACATAATGTTAATTACTCGTGGGATTCCACCTGCACTGTTAATTGACAAATTACATCTCTAGGCTGTTTTGATGAATAATTTACACAATAACCACCATAATGAGAGTTGCTCAAAAAACACTGCTTATATTTATGAAGGAGTTTATTGCCATAAGCAGTCATAACCATGTGACTGTAGCTTATGTATAAATACAGCTCTCTACATGGAACAGCCATCCCTACAATTTCAAAGCAGTCTCCAGAGCATCTAATTGTTAAATAGGGGAACATATGATCAGAAAGATCACATAGAGCAGGGGTCTGCAACCTTGACATAGAGCATCAAAATAGAGGGAAAAAAATGTCTTAGTGACCATTGGATCAACTGACATTTTTATTGCTGGATATTATACTACCTGTTTCCTAAGGACACCAGAAGGGTTTTGGCAGAACAGTGAAATACCAGCCTGGCATGTTATCCACCATACTACCACAAACATACAGAACCTCTTCCTGACAACAAAGATATAAAATCTCTGTGCAAGACTTGGTAAGTTTAGAGCAATCACAGATGAAGAGAATGAAAAACAGAAATGTTATGCTGAAGTACCATTTCTTCACATGCCAGAAGGGGTAAGATGGTGCTATATTTCATTTTTATAAATATTAAAAGGCAGGAGAATTGAGGTACACTGGGGGAAAAAGCGGATGGCTAACACTTATGTATCAAAAATTAAAAAGGATTTAATACTTAGATTATATTCTTTGCTTTCATACATGCCAACATATTTCATAGTAACCTTGGAAATTAACTTTAGTTCCTTAAGAGAAAGCAAACAAAATATTTTGGAAATTAATTATGCAAAAGTATGTAATTTGATTTACTGCACTTCCTTCTTCATTTGTATAGCCCTAGTCTTCAGCCACACTTGGATGATTAATGCTTACACAGCCCAAACGTTGAAAGTTGTGCATTTAGGTAGCTGGTTAAAATCAGTGAAACTTTGCAGATCTTCTGTACCCACAGTATGCAAGCGTAGAGAGGAAACACTTGGGGCTAACTCTAACCCCCAAACAAAGTCTTTATGATGCTCATGATCTCTGAGATCTTACCTCACAGACAAAACGTTTCAAGAAATGATTATCACTTTACAGAGACTAAGCAAAGTATTGTCCTAAAAGGTATAAGGCATTCACATTAGTAAATGCAAAACTAATTCACAGGCAGTTGAAGAATTAGTGTAAGAAAAAACAAACATGGTTCAATATCTACAAGATTTATACAAAAGCTTAATGACCATTGCTGACTACCAAATCCCAGAAGAGTGAAACAGTGAAAACAACATGAGCAGTTGGGACAAAGAGGCCAGGAAGATTTCTGTCAAAATCTGAAGACTCAGATTCCAAACTTTTCCTGCCTTGTGGTATTTGAATGGGAAAGGCTCCAAACATTCCATTCTAGAGTGACTGTGAAAGTCACATTACCAGCCAAAATATATTTGGATATTTTTTTTAAAAAAATGGATAAAATGATTGGCATAATACATGAAAAGCAGAATTTAAATACATTGAGTAATATTCTTAAAGACATGAGTAAATTCAGATAATCCAGTGGATGTTAATTTTACACATTACATTTTAATGCATGATGGAATCTCGAAGTTTGAACAGGAAAGGAGACCACTCATCAGAAAGTAAAGTCCAACTGTGATGCAGATATTGACACAGCAAACATAAAGAAGTCAACTTCTAAAACATTACCTCTTCTTTTGAACTGAGAGCACCTTTAGTTTGGCATTGGCTGGAAAGCCTAAGTAATACAAATGGCCTGCTACTAATTTCTTCCATGCATCACTTTTTTCAGGGATAGAGGTCACTCTTGAAATTCTAAACTCTGGACTGGAATACTTAGTCATTCAACTATATATACTGATTGGAAATAATTACAAAAGATTGATATATACCTTTAAAATATTTAGGAAGTTCTAGAAAATCTTTTCATGACAAACCAGCATAATCATTTGGATATAATCAATTTGAACAATTCAGTATGTGTTATGGGGAACAAGATATGAAAAGAGATACGTGAAATACAGACATTAAAAACAGTTAAGAATCTATCTTTGTCATAACAGGCCAAATTATATAATGTATCATTTTCAACAGCACATTACATTAGAAAATTCAATATTCAAGGGCATAATTTTGCAGCCTCTAAGAAGTTTGTCTGCATTTCATGACAAGCCTGAAAAAAATTAATAGGTTAAAGTATTATGCTAATAAAAGGAAAGTTCCAAAATGTTGGTCCTATCAATGACATACTATAGTTTGAACGGAGAAATCTACATTGTGCTTCATGGGAACTCAAAAGTCTTGTGGGCAACAATGAAAAAAGTAGCTCTTTCACATGTATAGATTAAACTGCAAAATAAGAATCACAACCTAAAATAAAATAAATTTCACTTAGGCGCACAGCTGTTTGGGGTTAGGATATTTGCAGAAGCAGAGCTGCAGAGAATTTACATAAGGTTCATCTCAAGTCTGCAAAGAACCAACACATCATCTGGAAAGTATCCCTGTAAATTCAGGGTTCCAGCATGAAAAGTGAAAAAAATAATCAAGGCTTAGGAGGTCATTGTGGCTAACACACTCTGGAGGTCAGCCCTGATGCTGTTCTGCAGAATAAAACCTTTTATCCATTCAGTGATGCTAAGCAATGAGAATGGCAATGGCAACTCAGAATCTCAGCAGTGTCAAATAAAATTATTTAAATATATAACAGCAAGGCATTCCTTGGGGATTGTTCCCCAGATGCCACAAAATAAATTTCAACTTCCTGAGGTGCAGCATGTTCTTCAGGGAACATCCTAAAGATATTTACCTCTTCATTTTTCATACCCATTCGTAAAACTTCTGAACAGCTGATTAAGAACTGAAGGTTAAAAAGACTTCTAAAGAAAGAATGTACGAAAAATAGAAATTCTCTCCCAGTTGTTGAAATATATCCCATCTCTCTTCTTCCAGCCCCCTAGCCTAGACTCCTCTGTTACACACTGACTTTATCTTAAAAGGAATTTTAAAATCTAAGAGAACAGGCTGGCCCAGCAGCATCCACAGGGGCTTGTAGCTTCTAAGAACAGAGCCTTGGGAGGATTGACTTTGGCTATCAGCATAGCAGCATTTTTAAATAACAAAAAAGTCAGCTCTCTTAACATATCTTTTACAACAAGCTCTTTGTTGAAAGTAAAGGGCAGCATGACTGACAATACATGGACTCTGAAAATACTCCAAAGTTTAGACATGCACTCAGCAAAAGAGAAGCAGCAGAAATTGCTACTTATCTCCCAAATAAATAAAATACTATGTGCAATTTTTCAGGACACAAATCCTCCTTTTTTTCATATGGTGCCCACATATTCCACTATTCCTGGACTCAAAAATATGGCCTCTTAAATGACATGTCCTCATGCACAACTCAGAAAGATTAAAGGGCCACATACTTTTCTCCAGTCTTGGGAGCAACCTGTGAGAAGTTTTTTTAAGGATCATTCATAGTTTTCCCCAACCAATACATTCTACAAATGACAATACTTTGTCATTTTATCTAAGGGGAAAAACAATGAAAGATGGGATCACTGGAACAAAGTCATAAACAATACAGTAGAGTTTAACTGGGAATATCCTGCAATATTTACAACTGCAAAATATTTTTTTTTAAAAAGATTCATGATATTGCTTGAAAAAATAAACTGCAGCTGCTTTGACTTGTCAGCCTATATTTAAAAGGATTACCAATATAACTGGAAAAAATAGACCTGATTCTGCTCCACTTGGAATAATGTTGCCATTTGTCCCAAAAAGATGGCTCATCATTGCCAAGCTTTGTTTAGGTGTTTGCTGCTTATTTTTTTTCCTTCTGTGCTCTCATTCTCTGAGCTCCCATTTCTTCCCAGTTTTGTTTCCTGGTCCCAGGATGTCTTTGGTCTCAGAGCACTGGATGCAGCACGCTTTATAAGCACACGTTAATGGTGGTCACAGTCAGAGAGAAGGTGAAGGATAAGGACTAGTCCTTGTGAACTGGGAATGAGGATGGAAAGCAGAGAAAGAGGATGAAGCCGTGTGACAATTCCTAGATGGTACCTTCATTATGCATACTGTGGTTGGACTTGTTGTGAGTTACACAGTTCTGTTCGTTCAGTAGATTTGCCATCTCATCTGGCAAACCGTCATGCAGTTCTGTAAGAGTCAGTTCTATTTTAGTGGTTTCACTGTCCGAGGACTGAGGTGTTTTATCCATTCGAGATGCCATTAGGGCATTTTGGTATTGCTGTCTTGAGATCTATACCAAGCACATTAAAAGATACAAAAAAGAAGTTGGCAATTAATAATAATACTCCTGATGCTCCTAGTATTAAGAGATTCATAAATCATAACTTACCTTTATTGAAAATAAGCAACATAGTATCAGTTCCACAAATTTTGAATTCCAAAACAGTTTTGGGATCATTTAGAATACATTTTGAGTTTATTCAAGGCAGAATAAATGGCTCTAATTTTTTTCTGCCCCAATTCTAGAACTAGTGATGCTGCAGGTTCATCTATTGCAGGGATAGTCAACCTTGGCTCTTTTATGACTCGTGGACTTCAACTCCCAGAATTCCTGAGCCAGCTAAGCTGGCTCAGGAATTCTGGGAATTGAAGTCCACGAGTCATAAAAGAACCAAGGTTGACTACCCCTGATCTATTGTTCCAAGGACCCAATCATGCTGCAAACTCCATCCCAAGTTTTCCTCTCTCATATCCCTAATATTATACAATCCTCTCTCTATAAGCTTAGCTGACTGTTGTAACTCTTTTCAGTTTGATAAAGACCATATGTTTCTTTCTGAATCAAAACTCCAACTATCAGATCATTAGATTCAGGATGCCCCAGCAGATTCAGGAAGGAGCATCAATATTCTTAATCAATTCTCCTTTGTGAATCACAATACCTTCTAAATTTGTCAGAATTTCATTGTAAATTTCATAGTATTTTGTCTATAAGGTTTTTTTTTAAAAAACAGATTTTAAAGGATCCTAACTTGAAAATCCAAACACCTCTGTACTGTATTTTAGAATGGCTTTACAAATTTTCTATTGATTACTTTCTTGAATCCTTGGTTAGCTAGAAGTTTCATTTCTTGCTTTATCAACTCCTGGCTGTTAACTAAGTTCCATTCCCTGAGCAATTTTTGATTGAAAATTTAAATCCAGTGTCCTTTATCTGCTGTCTCTTCTGATGACAGGGTAATATGTATATTAGTATTATTATAACTGTTCAGGTAGGTGGTTTCCCATTAAACAAATATATAAAAATAATGTATGTTTTATTATGGCACAAAGGTCAGAACTATTTATTTTGAACACTCAACACTTGGAAGAACAAGACACAGTTGCAGTCCATGAATACTAATTAAAACCTTTCCCCCTCTATATGGAAAAATTTGTACGTGACTGAAAGCACTTATTCCCTCAAATAACATTCATGTTGCTTTAAAGAAGAAAAATTGGATAAAAATATGTTAAATACAATTAAATAGAATCACAAATTTGACCACCCATAGAAATCATGTAGGCTTGGTACAGAGTTTGCAGTGCAGGATATCACTGCAATACAAGTTGTTGCTGTTTTCCACTTCCTGGCGGTCTGTTCCTTTTTTAAAAAAGTGCCTGCACAGTTTCAAACAAAAATGTTGTGCTTGGAACTGGCCATAATATTCCAAATGCAGATATATTCAGGCAGATATATATATATATATATATATATATATATATATCTTAGACATTAGATTTCTTTCTTTGTTAACTACTGTATTTACCTGAAAGATAATCCTGAATTTATAATGACCCATGCTCCCTCAAAAAAGAGACTAGTCAAAAAATAATAATAAACAGAGCAAAATTCTTGTGCATTGTCCAATTCCACATCTACTTGCTAAGAAAACAATTTTTGAGATTTCCAAATGAGTTAAACAAATCAGGAGTTACCTTTTCCAACTGATAGACTTTATTAAAAGATATAAGGTCATGAGCTAAAGTTCAATTCATCAGATGAGATCCTATCAGACTCCTGATTTTTTTTCTACCATGCACTAACACAACTCTCCTCCTACAATGTCTACAACAAGAGGCATCAAATGAATTCACATGTCACATGTCACTTATGTCTGTATGTACAAAAAGAAGGGACCAGGAGAAAAAAAGAATTAACCGAACAGCCACAAATTATTAATAAGGTATACAATTTATAAAATTAACTCATTCTTCATTTGCACACACCAATTATTGTCTCACCTGCTTACAAACCACTCTCCTACAGAATAACTCACAGGAACATGCACACAGATACATATATTCTTTTCTTTCAGCAGAATCATCAAAAAGGAAAACACATACATATGCACAAAGAATGGAAATTGGATGTGGGAATAGATGTATTTGTAAAAGTAACAAAGAAGGAGAAAAGAAGGAACAAAACTGTATGGAGACAAAGTGAAGAAGATCCATGACCAGAAAGGACACAGAGAAGTCCTTTGAAGCAGCCCCTTCAAAGCAAGACATTAATAGCTTTCCAGGTCAACATTTTTTTTAGCAGGAATTTCTGTAACTCTGTCATCTCCTATCCAGTAAGTTGTATTTAACAGCTTCTTCTATTATTAGTGGGTCCAAAAGGACACCCTCAATTTACATAGCTTATCAGGAACAATCCTGGTCTCCCCATGTAATAATTATATCTTTTATTTTTGGTTAGTAAAAGTACATTATTCTGTTAGTTTCAGTCTTGTGTGTGCTAACCTATCAAGAAAGTTTCACAATAATAGTTATACCTCCTAGCTCTGTGTCATCCACAACCCAACCCCTTCACCTGTACCTAAATAATTTAATAACAAGTTCAGAATAGTCTTCCCTAAGCTTGGCACCCAGTAGATACGTAAATGTGAAATACACAAAAATTTGCTTTTAGAATGCTTATTTGTATGAATACTGGTGGATGAAGACAGAATTTACCCATCACCAGTTTTCTGGTACCTTACCTATTTTCCAAGATGTCACAGTATTGCAAACCTATTTTTTGTCCTTATGTTGCTATACACCTGTAATTCATTTTAATATGCTAATAATAGACCAATTGAGAATGAGTAAATAAAAAATGACCACGCTATATTTCTATCTCTATTACCCACATTCTCACACATAATACATACCCATCCTTCCCATCCATGTTCTATTCATTAGCTAAATTTAAAAGATCCCTGTATTAAAAAATCAGAAATCAAACAATTTGGGAACAGAATAACATATGAAGAGAAAAGCACAGGGTTTTCAATCCACTAATGAGTGGCTAGAAAGTATTAGTAGGAGAGAGAAGGCAGGTGAAAGTAGTAGGGTCAACAAGGATGATTTGTTTAACTCTGCTGATTCCTTCCAACAATAGCTCTCATATTGCCATTAACTGAGCAAACTTCATTCATTTATCACAGGGCTTTTCAACCAGTGGTACGGGTACCACCTGTAGTACATTGGCACCTGGCAGGTGGTATGTGACCATCCTACAAAAGTGGTAGCGGGGGAGGGGAATGAGCTGAACTGCTGGCAGTACCGCACAAGCCTGAGCGAGAGATGACTGGAGTTGCAGGGCTGTCAGGGCTCAGCGGAAGCACCAGGATCAGCGCCAGGTTCTAGCTGGAGCTCGGCGCTGATCCTGGCGCTTCTGCTGAGCCCAGAAGAAGTGCCGATCAGCTGGAATGTTGCAGCATCTCCAGGGTCTTGTGATTTACATTCAGATGCTTGGCAACTGATTCATATTTATGACGGTCACAGTGTCCCAGGGTCATGTGAAGTGACCAAAACCTGAGGCAACCACCCAGCAGACGGGGGGAATAAAAACCAAACATCCCCCCACTGCTGCCAATCCTCAACAGAAATGCTCACAACAGGTGGGCAGGCAGGTGTCTTGCTCGGCTGTGGCTTGGGGGGCACTTTTTTCAGTGCCATTGTAACTTCGAACAGTCACTAAGCGAACTGTTGTAAGTCGAGGACTACCTGTACTTTATCACTTTTTTCCCTTTTTTGGGGGGGTCATCAGGTTTTTGACACCTTGCTAGGCGACTAGTGATTCTCGGATGTTGCCATATCCTAAAAGTGGTACAATGGGTGAAAAGGTTGAAAAGCCCTGATTTATCAAATTAGAGTTTAGTTCTTCCCTAAAAGACGTACAAGATCACCTCTAAAATATTCTGCATCTGAAGCAATTCTTTTCAAGTGTTCAGTGTTTTATCACAACATAATTAGAACTGATTGACAATTAAGAGTTTATGGACAACCTATATTCCCAATCTACACCTACAGGTAGAAGATCGATTTTTTTTCCTTTCATACCTTGACGTATTGAATGTCTGAGATTGCTCTGACTGAGTAATCTGGAACATATACTTGAACAAATGAGGAGTTCAACTGATTGTTGCTATTCCCTATTGCTGGTGTCACGGCATCAATGCGATCTCCTCTATTAAGAGAATCTGAATGATTTAAGCCACAAGAACGAGGTGGTGACTTATTTTCAGCTGGGAAAAAAGAAAAAGAAAAATATGTATGTTGAAGAATGCAACTGAAATCCAAAAACCAACATCAGTTCATGGGACAGACTGAGGGTAATTTGAGATAATTGATAAGTTATTTAAATTTAAATTCATGAAGCTTAATCAGCAAACGAATTATGTAAATGTGTGTCCTTAAATTTTCTTGTTCAGCCTCTAAGGCCACTTTGAATACAAATTAATGCAAACAGAATTCAAATTCACAATAAAATATTATAATACAGTATAATATCGTTTAGAATAACATAACATAAAACATAACATAGCAATATACAATTCACAAGTAAATGTTCAATGCTTGTAAAATCTTTGGGGGACTAGGAACACTTTCCATAGCATTATAAGCAAGTAATATGTCCTAAATTATAAGAGAAATTAAAATGATTTTGCAACTTATTTAGAGACCAGTATAAGTCGATACAAGAAAAAATGGAAGACAGATTGATGATTCTAAATTAAACCTTTTCAGTTTACAGATGTTCTAAGACAGGGGTGTCAAACTGGCGGCCCACGGGCTGGATACATCATGTGCAGGCCACGCCCACCCCGGTTCCGCAAAGGTAAAAAACATCACGATATGTCACGTGACATAATCAACTTTGACACCCATGTTCTAAGAGAAACTAATATTGTTTCTCACTTTTCAACGGATTATACTCTGGTGTTAATTAATAATGCACCAGGCAAAACTCATATAGGTAGTCCTCATCTTATGATCATTTCTGAATGAAATTACCTAAACGGGACAACATATAGACCGTTTCAAAAGAACTCCTCCCATTTCTGTTGCTTCACTCCACGTGGAAAACACCACTCAGTACAAGACTGTGTGGAGTCAATATTCCTACTCGTGCTAGAGCTTTTAGAAGAATTAACTCATAATTCTCATATACAGGACTTTATGCAATCCATAGCAATAGAACAACGTGTATAGTTTGCTTAACTTTAAAAACATTTTTAGTTTTTGGCAGTATTTTTAAAGATATAGAAGTTTTCATGACAAATGTTAAGACACAATTCCTTTTTGTTTCAAGATCCATTTGTTATTATCTAATCAGAAATCAAAACTTAGAGCACCCACCTGGTTAAACACAAACCCTTTCTTCTCTAAAAAGGTGATTTGCAGTATTTAATTAGTTACAGGATAAATGCAATTTAAAATAGAGGTACAGAAGAAGCAAGCATATTTACCTGGACTTCCTGGCACTAGTATGTCTGTTCTGCTGACAACAAAGGTACGAGACAAGGATAAAGGAACTAGAGAAGGGAAAAAGAGATGAGACTAAAATCAGAGAAGACATTAATATCTTTAAAGAAATAATCAGTTTTGTCATGGTGAAGAAATCAAGTACAATTCAAATGTAAGTGAAGGACATAAATAGAACAATGAAAAACTGGTCAGAAAATAAAATACAATAACACTTAGGAAATCAGGTATCAAGCAATACATGCTTCTTTCTTAGTTACTTCAATAGTTCAAAATTCTCTGAATTTGGAAGTAAAGTTCTGTTAATGTTTTTGGAATAATGTTACTAACAACAGAAGTTAGAGACATACAGCAGAAGATATCATCATAAGTTGTTTAAAGCAAGCATCTGTCCCATAAACACATGCATTTTTTATTTGTGTGTTACAGTATAAGTAATAATCACTGCTCATCCTCTTATTCAAACAGGCTATAAAAAACAAGCCTTTCAAAAAGTGAAACAAATCATTTTGCTATCTTTTTTCAGATAAGAAATAGTGTTTGTTTCTGTAGAATCTTTTGTTATCAACAAGTGCAGCAACTACATACTCTTTTAATCCTATCCCAGGAATTCTAAAATGATATCAGATATGAAGGTAAATAGCCAGCTTGATGAAAGTTATTGTAGCAAATGAGAAAGGAAAAGAAAGAAGGAAGGAAGGAAGGAAGGAAGGAAGGAAGGAAGGAAGGAAGGAAGGAAGGAAGGAAGGAAGGAAGGAAGGAAGGAAGGAAAGTGTTACTTCCATAATATCAACCCATACAGAAATCTAGCATGCAATGTTTTTCACCTTCTTGTTGTAAAAGAAGAGGAGTCATTCCAACAAAGGAAGTGATCAAATATCTGGAAAAGGAATTTGTTCCTTCAAAAGTAGGTACATGGAGAAAAGTAGGAGAGCAGGACAATAGTGAGATGTGCTAACAAATATTGTACTTCTAAAATTGAACGTATTGTTATCAAAAGCACCAGGAATGGTTTCCCAGTAAAACAGTAGTACAAAGATAAAGCTGAAGAGAAAATTCAGAGCTTGCCCCAAGTTGTCCTTTATTCCTGATCTGATATAGCAAAAATAAATTGTGCTGTATCTGATTGGGTAGCTGGAAACCTAGTTCTAAGAAGATAAATAAGTCTCTGAGGGTTTGTCTTAACCTATTGAAAGACTATATTGTCTTCCTCTACTGAAACAGCTGTACCAGAATACTTTAGGATAAAAACAGTCTCTTCCCCTTCCCCAACAAGTGCACAGTGAATGCAGGTAAAATACAGGTAGTCTCCGACTTACGAACTGTTTAGGGACTGTTCAAAGTTACAACGGCACTGAAAAAAGGGACTGATGACCATTTTTCACACTTATGACCATTGTAGCATCCCCATGGTCACATGATTTACATTCAGATGCTGGACAACTGACACACATTTATGATAGTTGCAGTCTCCATGAATCATGTGATCCCCTTTTGCAGCCTTCTGACAGTAAAGTCAATGGGAAAGCCAGATTCACTTAACAACCATGTTACTAACTTAACAACTGCAGTGATTGATTTAACAAATGTGGCAAGAAAAATCGTAAAATGGGACAAAAGTCAATTATCAAATTTCTCAACAATATAAATTTTGGGCTCAGTTGTGGTGGTATGTTGAGGTCTACCCATACTTAACTACAGAAAGTGATAGAAATAGTCCTTGTGATAGAGGCATTGCTATGGACTGTTAACATACTCTGTCCGTGACTCCCCAAAATTTAGGTTTTAACAAATCTATTTATCATCTACTAGAAGTGAGAGGTTCAAAATTATCATTGCTGAACAATTTTGATCCTTGTTAAATAGAACTGGCATTTATTTTGCAAACATCAGCTAAATAAGATTCTATTAGGCTATCATTCAATCTGCTATGAAAAAACAACTGAATTTAACTGTCTTTGAGAATCTTTGTAACAGAAGCAATGATTTTATTATCTGATTTTCACTAAAATAGCACATCTGGGTTCTATGCTACTTTCTTGCCAATAAACATTAAATCATATGATTTGGTTTAATAATTCTTTCAGGTTGAGTGATTTAAGCTAATACAGGTAATCCCCGAGTTACGAGTGTTCACTTAACGCTCGTTCAAAGTTACGCGATAGTTTTTATGAGAAAATTCCAAAATTATGAATGTTGCAGCAACATGGCAGTTGTTCACCCTTACTAATGACTGCAGAGGCTCTGCAACATTCACCCTATCCCCCCCGCTCCCCACAACTGCTTTCCCCTTCCTTTCTGCCACGCCAGACTCACCTTGAGAAGACCTGTCTCCTCTTGGCTGCGATTTCTACCTCTGAGAGAGAGTCAATGGAACCTCCTGGATGCCGTAATATCGCGCAAGTTCAGGCACCCATCCTTTTTTGCAGAGAATGGATACCTGAACTCTCGTGAGATCATGGACCCCAGAAACTTTCATTTTAGGCGCAAACTTTGTACCTGTCTCCTGCTCCCCCTCAATTCCTTTCCGCCACCACTGGAACACTTTTTATTTGAACGGAGACCTTGGGGACATGGGGAGCTCCATCTGTGTGCAAATGCAACACTTGAAAACTCAGCAATTTGCTGCGTTTTCAAACACACCATTTGCTCACAGACAGACCTCTCTATCTCCCCAAGGTCTCCATTTGGATAAAAAGTGTTTGCACCTAGGGACACTTGGAAATGCAGTGATTCGCTGCGTTTCCAAGTGTCCAGAGGCGCTCAAACACCTTTTACCCGAATGGAGACCTTGGGGAGATGGGAACTCTGTCTGTGTGCAAATGCAATGCTTGAAAACGCAGGTTGGGCGGGATGGGTGGCTGGGGGAGATCGTGGCTGCTCAGGTGGCTGCCACTGCTGCTGCCAGCAGCTTGATTTTCTCCGCTTCGACCTAGTGGAAGAAAGTGGTGGCGCAGAAGAGGATTGCTCTCAATAAAGCCGGCGCACGTGAGTGAGCAGCACACCCATGTCTTCTTGAGAGCAATCATGCTCTGCGCCTCTGGGGGCCATGATCTCTTTTGAACTCACATGATATTACAGCACTCAGGAGCTTCCATTGTCAGTGCAAAAAAGCATTTCCAAGCCAACTCTCCTCTCCTTCAAAGGAAAAGAAACCGCAGCAGAGAGGATTTTTGCAAGATAAATGAGTCTGGCGCAGCAGGAAGGAAAGGGAAAGCATGAGGTATCTTAGTGGGTTGGGGAGGACTTGGGATCCTGTTCCATCACTTAGGCCCTCAATGGCCTTCCCTACCCTGAGAAACCTCAAGTGCACTTAATGAGACATGTGCGTCTTAACGAGCAGGGAGTGATCTCGTTCGAGGTGCAAGATTCATTCCCACGAATTCTCGAGTTACGAACGGAATGGGCAGGCTCCATTCCATTCGTAACTCGAGGACTACCTGCACAGTATGCCGTCATTTCTCTTAACAGCAGTTTCAGATGGAAATCAGTGAAAAATTACCTGGTGAGGCTGTGAGAGCCATGACTCCATAGTAAGAAAAAGCTCCAGCTTCAAACTTCATTCCTTCTTTCCCAGCCTCTACTTCTACTTTTCCCTGCAGAGGAAAAAAAAAAGATAGCATTCCTATTTAGAATTAGAGGAAAGGCTGGCCCTTAGACAGATCCATAAACTCATTCTCCTTAGCAATCCTTTATTCTTTTTCAAAAATAGTTTTTCTTTTATATATGTTCCCAAGTATAACTGGTTTACCTTCAATACCTCAGAGGTTGTATTTCTCAATTGTATTCAATAATTGAACATAAAAAAATTTAAATAAAGGAATAAACTGTTCTGTCTATGAATTAAACAGGTTCACTATGCAGGACAATGCCATATATATTTCCCAATAACATTTGAAGGAATACTTTATACTTGTTTCCAACACATAACTTTCTATTCCCCTCTGCAGATTTCTAACATTATCTTAAAGGCCAGGCAAGCAAGCCTTAGAG